GGATCCGATGTTGTAAAAAAAAAAACAGAGCAGGGAAAGGTTTACTCTGCTCGATCGAGCAGAGTAAACCTTTCCGGGAGAAAGTGTTTTTCTCCCGGGCGGCTGGGAGCTGCTATCTAATAGCTATCTAACGGTAACAAAATTACAGTGATAAAGGAGCACCGAAAATAATTTTACTATTGGGGTCGCCATAACTTGGGCATTATCAACGGGTCGCGGTACTAGAAAGGTTGAGAACCGCTGGCTTAAAGGAGATCTATGAGGTGATTGATTTCCACTCATCCTCATAGCTAGTGACAAAGAAGCTGTCACGGGTCGGCTCTCGATTGTGCATGTTTCTGCTCACTTCACAATCTACTCACTTCTCGATTAGCCTCCCTGCAGTGAGCGGTGACTTGTCAGTCACTGCTGCCTGCAGGGATTCCCTCCGATCCTCAGTGAAGGAACGGACGGGGGATGGGGCGGGCACAGCTGGCTCTGCCTCTGGATAGGCAGAGCCAGCTGTCACTCACACAGCTGGGTGGATCTCGACAGTAATGTCAGGATCCGTCCTTGCTGCAGTGCTCAGTATTGCCCGCGATATACTGAGCTTTGGGTCATGAGAAGACGCTAGTATGTCCTTCCTTGACCCTAAAGAGAACTTTGGGGAAAGCACTTCCCCCCATAGATCTCAAGTTGATTGTACTATGATTGTCTGGTCAGATTGTAACATGTGCAGTGAACCTTAGCCTGGTGGTAATGAGGGTTTTAAAGGCTAGACTGCTAGAACCTTCCAAATTGGTGGGTTTATGAACGCAAGTTTAACAGGCGTTGCAGAATGTTGGTTGGCATAGCTGATCTGAGCTGGATACCCTGCCAGTCTACAAGAAAGTGAGGGGAAGAACAAAGTGGCAAAACCTCTGTAGTTCTATTGGTTTTATGAAAATTAAACATTTTTAAAATTTAGGGAACCACATGTGGTTACAATATCATTTTTAGCGTATTTAATGCTGAAAACGATGACGCCTCTAAAGCAAAGTTAGTTTTATGAAGTGGGTCTACATATCTGGTTCTTTTTGGTCCTTTTAAATATACCATTTGAAAATGTCCTACCTGGCAAAGTAAAAAACATTACCAGTGGCCCCTGTCAAAAATAGATCTACAGAAATAGAGCTTTAATGATTTTTCAGGCAGTATCCGTAAGTGTCATTTTACACAAGAGTAGCTGCTACTGTAATGCAGGGCTAGTTTTGGCTGTCAGTTTGATGGCTTCAATTTACCAGCAATAGCAGCTAAGGGGTGAGGGACCAGGAGCTATGGAGATGCGCCTAGGATCTGTGAAGCCTTTTAGGGTGTATTTGCTACACCCAAGGTCCTGAAGTGGTTAAAGGGTTGAAACATGGGGAAATATGCATGTATTGCATAGATGCACTTCAAATTCGTGTTTTTTGTGACATTCACTTTAAACTGTTTAACATTTCTGCAGATCTTTTGTTTACATGGAGGACTGTCCCCGTCAATAGATACACTGGATCATATTCGAGCTCTTGATCGTCTGCAGGAAGTTCCACATGAGGTATTGTCTAAGTTCTTTAACAAAGATTTCCACAACTGGAATTACCAGTATTGATATTTATGAATCATACTTGCGGATACCTCTACAGTCAAGGTTTGGACCTTGTAATAGAACGATGTACAGTAACAGCAGTTTTCACTGACCTAACACAAACTGTTGACTATAGCTTTCTGATTGCTATGTGGCAGTGCACAACAGTGCTGCATAATGTCCCTTAAGGATCTGTGCCATTAAGATAAACTGACACGGATTGTGTAAGTGATGATAGTTTTACTGCGAGTTAAACCTTGTGTACCTATATTGGGCAGTTGTATATTCCGATTAATACTGCCCTGCATCAGAATCTTGTTGGCAAAGAGCAGGTGTGTGTGTCAAAAACAAAGTGCCTAAAGGGTTTGAGTATTTATTTTTTTGGGTTTGAGATGTGTATAGTGGTGGTGAGGGATTATTTCAGTTCTAGTGTCGGCACTCACCAGAAAAATGAGACTGGTTATTTCTGAAGGTCTATAAACTGTTATAGCTTCTTGATCATCAGTCCTCCAAGTTGGCAACAGCTAATCCTGTGCCGTCTTTCCTCCTCGATCTGTTTTGGTCTCAAGCTCCACAGCAGCACAGCTTCAGTTCACCTGGAACTATCCACCTCTACTCCAGTATATCTGGCAGGAACTCAATACAGTAATAGTTTTAAAACTGAAATAAAACCAGCAGTGTAACAAAGTAAAAACTGCTACAAACACCAGCTCTAGCATACTGTTTTGGTGACTGACCTCCTCGATCAGCCTCTGCTGAAGCTCTAGCATGCTAGAGCTGCCATATGTAATTGTTTTTAAATGTGTTTTTAAATAAATTGGGGCATGGGCTACTTGTACAGGTGACAACGAAGACCGTATTATTTCCCTTGCTTTGGAGTTCTCTCGCCTTTTTTGTCTTCACAATAAGTGAACGAAAAAGTTTTGGCTTTATATATACTTTAAGTGTTGGGGTGCTTTACTATAGAGGGCAATTTTACAGCTTGACACTTAGGGGTGTATTGGCACTTACAAATTTGTTTGCAGTCACTCTTGGTGCAAGAGTTGTGCCAGGCTCTCAAAACGAATGCACTGCTTTAGTCTTGAAAGGAAATGTATGCATTGCCATCAATATACTATGCACTTCTGCCAGGGTGCAGAGTTTTGTATTTTAATTATTTTTAATCTGTTGGGTAGCTTAGTGACTATGCTATGCTGGAGTTAAAAAAAAATTTAATATGTTTAAGGTTACAGTGTGTTCTAGGCGTGTTGACGCTCAAAGCTGAGCACGACAAAACACAACACAAGAAATCCCATTCATTTTAATGGCCCCTGTTCACACCTGAGTTTTTGTCGCAAGCTTTTTTTGGCACATTACAACACATTTGGCCGCATAGACTTCAATGGAAATGAGCTACACAAGTGTTCACTGCAATGCATTTCGATCTGCTCCATAAAACGCTAGTCTTCATGTATGCGTGTCTTAACGTGCAAAATGCCCTAGCTGAGACTATAAACAACGCGTGCTATGTGCTAAAATGCTGACGCCTAGGTGTGAAGTGTTAATAATTTTGCTGCTCATGCTTATTTCAAATGGTTAACCTGTGCGCCTTTTATTCACAAAATAGCTGTAGAAAATAATTTATACAAGAAAATTGATGTAAAACGTTTTTCTTCCTGTTTTTTTTTTTTTTAATGTGTTTTTTTGTTTTTGTTTTTTTACAGGGTCCTATGTGCGACCTGCTGTGGTCTGACCCAGATGACCGTGGTGGCTGGGGTATTTCTCCAAGAGGTGCTGGCTACACATTTGGACAGGATATCTCTGAAACCTTTAACCATGCCAATGGCCTTACTTTGGTTTCTAGAGCCCATCAGTTAGTGATGGAGGTGCGTCCTGACTAGATAATCCTACTGTAAAAAGTTGACACTTGATAATCAATTTGTAAAGGATTTGTGGTACTTTTAGATAGTAACATAAACTTGGTGATTTCCGCTCTCGAAGTCAAATTTTGTTTGTGTAGATTCCAGTCTATGCTGAGCACTTAAAAAACGAAAGTATAGGAGCAGACGGGTGACTAAATCAAAACTGGAGCAGACACAATCTGGAGCTGTTGCCTATGGCAACCAAACAGCTTCTCGCTTCAGTTTAAGCTTTAAAAAAAAAAAGCTGGTGGTCATTAACTGTTCAAGATTTTGTCTTCTCCAGGTTGTTTAACTCCTTGTGTTCAAAATTGGTTTACAACTGATAATGAATTCTGCCAGAGCAGTACAGACAGGGTTAAAGTATTCGTAATGTCCCACAGCTCCCTCCTTAAAGGAGAACTATGGGGTCAGTGTTTTTCCCCATAGTTCTCCTTAGGGTAACGGGAGGACACAAACTAGCGTCCTCCCGTTACCCTAAGCTCAGTATACCGCGAGCTACAGCTCGCTGTATACTAAGACGCCGCACCTGGAGCGGATCCCAACGTAGCTGACGGGATCCGCCCAGCTGAGGTTCGAGCAGACGTGTGACAATGAAACTGTCGCACTGGTTCAATAGATCGGGAAGTGAGCGAACACATACCGTCGCTTGCTCACTTCTCGATCCTGTCCCTGCAGAGAGCCGTGACTGTCACTCACACTCCCTGCAGGGATTCCCCCTCCCCTGTCCAATCCTCCAGTGCTGAATAGCAGAACGGACGGGGGAGGGGGCAGGTACAGCTGGCTCTGCCTCTAGATAGGCACAGCCAGCTGTCACCCAGCTGGGTGAGGTACAGCTGGCTCTGCCTCTAGATAGGCACAGCCAGCTGTCACCCAGCTGGATGGATCCAGACAGTAATGTCGGGATCCATCCTGGCTGCTGCGGTCTCGGGAGGACACTAGTTTGTGTCCTCCCGTGACCCGGGGAGAACTATGGGTAAAAGCACTGACCCCCATAGTTCTCCTTTTAACATTACATAGAGGGAAGCCAGGTAGGATTTTTAAGCGAATAAAAAGCACTTAAATGTAAGCAGCAATTTGTTATGCTTTATGAATGGGAACATGTAACAAATGAAGTGGGTATTATCCCATTTTGGCTGCAAAAGTGGAAAAAATTTCCAGCTAATCTTTCCCTGCCATTGCTGTGGTCCCGTAGTAAAATTAGTTGCAAAATATTGGTAGATGTGCAGACAGAGAAATTGAAAAGTGTATAGATCTTGGAATCGGTCTGTGCTGCGTTTTCACTTTTGAGTGTCAGTTTCTTCTGACTTCCAATGAAAAATAAGGGAAAGGTTGTTTTTTTTTTTTGTGTGTTTTTTTTTTTTTTTCTTTCCTTTTTAACATTGCAAGTTTTTTTGCCTCCTTTTTCCATATTGATTTTCAGGGTTGAAACTAAAGTTTTGTGGGGGTTTTTTTTTTTCATTTTCTGTCACTGGGTTGGGACCATTAAGTTGCCTGACAAACTCTTAACCCCATGCAAGAACTATACCGTATTCTATCAATGGCTCTTTGTTTTTTTAATTTTTTTGTTTTTTTATTGCTTAGTTAATGTTGCCTTTGTTTGATAGGGATACAACTGGTGCCATGACCGGAATGTAGTAACAATCTTTAGCGCTCCAAATTATTGTTACCGCTGCGGGAATCAGGCTGCAATAATGGAACTTGATGATACTCTTAAATACTCCTTGTAAGTATAAAAGCAAATATAGCTTGTGACTGTACTTGCAGAATTAATGGTAGAATTTTTAATTCATGAAGTGTATCAGGGGCATGATTCCTATCGCCTGATGACGGGGACATGCAGTTCTGGCACTGGGCAGGTTTTTTTCCCTCTACATTTTGGCCAGCTGCTTGTGCAAGCAGGGCTACAAGCAGGGAAGCTGCCTCTTGTTTTGACTAAGTGATCTGGGTGGCTATACAGCCGTCCAGATCACTTTTAGAGCACAGCATTGTGGTTGCAGTCTGCCATCTTCTGTATTGGAGGGCAGGGTCCATAAAGTAAACATGTCGCCTCCGAATGCTATCGCATAGAAGCTTGTTAGCCCCTGTGTGATAGCAATAATTTTTAGTGAAGAAAAAAATTATTTAAAAAAAAAAATGTATGTCAGTACATTGTATGTGACTCAATGTGTTTGTTCGAGCGTGACCGCGCTGATCAATGAGAACGCTTCTTTGCACGGTTAAATACAGGTTTGGTTAAAATTATTTTTGGGATCTTGACAAGTAGTCATGAGGGGCAAGTAGATTGGGCCCCTGCTTTATTCCTTGGACAACTAGTTTGTAACATATTTTCACACCCTCTATGCCATCTTTATACTGCCAAAGAAAGTTCACCCTAGCAAATGTTTCCCTTTAATCCAAAACACAATGGGGCGTATTTATCAAAACTGGAGCAGTTGCCCATAGTAATCAGTTTCTCTGGCGTGTCCAGTTAGGCTTTGAAAATGTCAGAAGGAATATGATTGGTTGCTGCAGGCAACTGCTCCAGATTTTGTCTGTTCCAGTGTTGATAAATCACCCTCATTGTGTCGAGCTAAATCTGTCTAATGGCGGTAGCCATCTTCCAACTCGGGAAGCATGTTAATTATGTGGCATTAACAGAACTTACAAGTTGTTAAAACTCCTTACTGTCTTGGCATTGGTATGCAGTAATAAAGTCAAAATGGCTGCTTCTATCCTAGGGCCTGACGATTGGTGATTAGTTTAGTGACAGGCTTCCTGTAACCTAGCCATGTATAGTAGATTTAGGTGCTGTTCCAATCCAGGACCCAGTCAGAGGAACAGTTGGCTAAGAACCTACTCTATATATACATTTTAGGACTTGTCTCGAAGGGCTTTGGCTTCGCTCAGCGGCTGTCTCGTCGCTCAGCGGCTCTCTCTCTCTCCTCTCAGCGTCGCTCAGCGGCTCTCTCTCCTCTCAGCGGCTCTCTCTCTCCTCTCAGCGGCTCTCTCTCCTCTCAGCGGCTCTCTCTCTCTCCTCTCAGCGGCTCTCTCTCTCTCCTCTCAGCGGCCCTCCCTCTCTCCTCTCAGCGGCTCTCTCTCTCTCCTCTCAGCGGCTCTCTCTCTCTCCTCTCAGCGGCTCTCTCTCTCTCCTCTCAGCGTCGCTCTCTCTCTCCTCTCAGCGTCGCTCTCTCTCTCCTCTCAGCGTCGCCCTGTCTCTCCTCTCAGCGTCGCCCTGTCTCTCCTCTCAGCGTCGCTCTCTCTCTCTCCTCTCAGCGTCGCTCTCTCTCTCTCCTCTCAGCGTCCGCCGCCCTCTCTCTCCTCTCAGCGTCCGCCGCCCTCTCTCTCCTCTCAGCGTCCGCCGCCGTGGGCAGACGGCCAGTGTCTGTCATTGCCAAATACTAAGTACCTTTCACTCCTTACCTTTTACCTCCAGCAGCTTGATCCACTGCTGCTGGGTTAAAGAAAGCTCCCTCAATGTAAAAAAAAACAACCTTCCTGTGCGTAGGAAGGTACCAAGTGCAGGGGGAGGGGCAGGGCGCAACCTTAAACTACACTGCACATTAAACGAAAATCTTAAATTAAAATGCCTGGGCCCCTCACACAAGTACAGGCCGTACCCCTCTGATGGCGGTCCTCGCCGGGGTTTCAGATTGTCACCCTCCCCTGTTCACTTGCCGGACCCCGTATGTGGTGGCGACCCACAGTTTAAGAAGCACTGCTTTAAACCAAAGTGTTGAGGGATAGGGGCATCTCCGATCTATTTTCCCCACAGGTCTGCAAGTCAACCTCTTGCAAGGTATACCACCTCTTCCTGAAAGGGGTATCTTGGGGGGTGTATCGCTACTCTTCATTTGGCAGGATCCTTTCCTTCCTATAGTTTGGGGGTAGGTAAGCATTTGGCGCTATTAAAAGGCTAGGTACCAGACTTGGCTGTCCCCTTCCACTGGCATCTGGTGGAGATATTCTTTGTTTTTACCTTCAGTCAAAGGGCACATTGCTCCCCTGTGACAGCACCTCTCAGGCTGTGGGGTTCTTTTTTTTTCTTTCCCCTTCAGTTCTTCACAAACATCCTTTTGAGCCAATCCTTGCGATAACTGTAAACTCTTACAGAAGGTTGTGTTCCTGTTGGCCATTACATTGGCCAGGAGGGTGTCAGAACTGGCAGCCTTCTCCTGTAAGGAGCCCTTCCTTGTTCTCCACAGGGTTAAGGTTGTTCTGCATCCATGGTGTTCCCTTTCACCCAAGTTGTGTTTTATATAAATGAGGTTATAGTCTTAGTACTGCTTTGTCTTGCTCAGACCCATCCAAAGAGGTTTCTCCTTCATTTTAGGGCAGTTTGGACATTTTAAAAAAATTAAGCAAATCCTCTCTAAAAATCCCTTTCTTAGACAGTCATTGAAGCACACTGCTCCCTTTCCTCTTGTTAGGTTGGCTTGTTGCCACGGTTGACTGTTTTATTGTAAGGACCTGGTCATTTTCTACTTGCAACAGCTGAAAATGCTGGATGGTATAAATTATAGCCTATGTATGGGGGGTGGTCTTTTCAAACTTTGTCCAAATCCTCAAAGGATAACTGCACTTTAAAACGGTATCAACTTATCCTTTTGGCTACTTTTAAAATGACAGTTTTCCTCCCTCCCTCTGCACAGATACATACTGAGTTCTGAGTTTCAGTGGGTCCTATCTCTCCATTGTTTACATCATGTGGCAGCCATTTCCTTTTCTTGCCTGTGCAGTACATCCCTGTTGTCTTCTATGGGGCTCATCACCCAGCTGGGAGAGTACCTCCTTGGCTTTTCAATACTTCCGATACCACTCTTGGCTCACAGGCTAATTACTTGGAGACTATCTATTTTTCCTGCCCTGCAACAAGTTGCTTGTGCTATGCTACATGGCTATGCTTTTACCCGGACCGCCTTGGGTTCATTGCACTCTTGGGCTGCCTGTTCAGTTCTTAGTAGAAATTTGCCCTAGGAACGTATTCCATACCAGAGTATTACCTGTCCTTCTCACCAGGGATATCCTGTTCTTGGGTAATGCTGATCTTCAGTATCCCTCCTCTCCAGAGGGTCCTTCTGAGATGGAGTCAGCTAGAACCAGCTTCCGTCGCTCCTTCCCCTATCTGAGTACTGGCCCCCTCAGTGCAAGGGCACCTGTAGTTGACAGCACTGGACCTTGTGTCTGCCCTAGTGCTGTCTCTTGGCATCCTGTTCTGGATTGATGACCACATTTCTTTTAAAGGGTGCAACTCCTGCAAGTTTCCACCAGTTGGGAACTCTGTTTAGTGTTTTAACTATCGGTTACCAACAAACAGGCTGACCAACTTAGATTCTTGTTGGAACACTTTGCACCCTCTGTGAAAATTTCAACAGTCATAGTACTCTGCCCTCCCTTTCCATTTAGGGACTAGTTTGGTACTGAGGGCTTGCCCCTTTACAATGCCTCTTGTTAAACTTTGGTCTTCGTCACATTGGTTTCTGTAAAACAGGACTTGAGGTGAGACCTACAAGGCAGTCCTTATGGATTTAGTGGTCCAGGATTTTAACCCTCTTTCTTCTAGGTTCTATGGGGTGGATCCTTTTTCTGCATCGTATGAGGACTCTTGTCCCAGTGCTATCTGCATCTGGGAATTGCATGTGGTTCCCTGGAGCAGTTGTTGCTTCTACTTTGGTGTATCCTGCTGTGAGTAGGTCCCTTGACTTGGATTTGTTGGCCTCACCTTGGTGTTGTAAGATCTTCACTTCTGGGAAAGCTTGGGAGATCTCCCTGTGACAGGGACAGTGACCTGATTTCTACGCTGCACTGTTTTGAGGATGTTGCACTCAACCACACGGTTCCCTTTTTAGAGGCACCTTTTTTGCCTTTGTCCTTTCCATCCTGTAGTCTCTTTTGTAGGAACATATTTGTTTTTCCTGCCGTGCAAAAGACAAATCGCTATCTCCGGAGGGCTCAGTATTTCCCTGGAAGTTCCTCAAAATATCTTCCCTTCTGCTGGCCTTTAATCATTTTTTGCTCTTTGGGTAAGGTTTCTGCCCCTTCCATCACAGGCTGTGGATACATCATATGTACTGGGTCAGGGAACTTGTAGTTCCATGGTTTGGATCAAGTAGGCAGGCCCTCCAAGTTGTTCATGGGTTGTCTCCAACTCCTAGGGTCCTTGAGAATTCCGTTTGAATTTAGTTATTATATGGTTTTCTTTCTTTTTTATATCATATGAGATTGGATAGCTGTCCTTGACATCCCTACTCATTGGAGCCTTCCTTCCCTGATGCCTAGGGTTGGAAATGTAGGATTTGGGCCTGCAGGACTGGTCTTGCCTAGTTTTCCAGTTTTTCTTTAAATCTCTTAAGGCTGGGAAACCTGCCAGTGTTCTCCTCCTCATCTTCCCTGCTTTTTGCTTACAGCTTATGCTGGCACAGGCTCAGTATACTTTTGAGGTAGTCATTTCCTTTGGCGGTGTTTCCTATCCTGGTCTGAGCATTAAGCTGGTCCTCTGTGACATAACCTGGGTCCTGTAGGAAATTTCCTCAAGATTTGGACATTGATCTTTCTGATTGTTACAGATGGCTCTTGGTTCTGGAAACTTAGATGCGTCAGTGGCTATTGCCTACACCAGCGGTGGTGAACCTATGGCACGCATGCCACAGTGGGCACGCGGGGCCCCCTCTGCAGGGACGCAGCTCCAGCGATAGCGATAGCGGTGACGCACAGCACCGACCATTTCCAGCACACAGCCACCACTCGGCCAAACAAAAAGCTAGGATGAGAAGCAGAACCCAAGATGCCCTGATTGGCTGAGCCGCGACAGCTGCGTGTGCTGATTCGCTAAGCGTCCTGTCAACGGTAAGGAAGGCATATAGGATGTCCTGTGTGCATGTGACCAGGCAGCATGGAACGCTGAGGGAGCATACACACAAGGGCAGAGAGCTGGTATAATGTCGCTCCTGCAGTGTTACGGGGCGGGGGGGCTGGGTGGTGGTGATGTCACTGAAGTTGGATGTAAACCCGCACATTTAGTATACCAAAGTCTACAGTATGTGAAACAATTTGCACTTTTTTAAATAAAAATTCTAGTTTTCACCTTTTTGCATCCCTTTGCTGCTGATCCCCTGCAGCCCCTTGGCAGCTGTTTCCTATCTGCATTCATGCACTCTGGCCAGGATTGCTGCACAGCTCCCCTGAGTGCCCACACAGCGCCCCTAAGAGCTGCACAGGCCCCCTAGGAAGCCTGCACAGCCCCCCCTGAGAGCCCATACAAACCACCTGAAAGCCCTTGTAGACCACCCGAGAGCCATACAGCCCCCAGAGAGCCCATACATACCACCTGAGAGACCACATGGCCCACCCAAAAGCCATAATAGACCACCTGAAAGCTGCACATCTCCCCTGAGAGCCTGTACAGACCACCAGAGGCCCTGCAGAGCCAACCTGAGAGCCCGTACAGACCACCTCAGAACTGCAGAGCCCCCCTGAGAGTTTTCAGGTCTAATTGAAGGGTTGGCACTTTGAGATACATAAGTTGGTTTAGTGATCCAGTTTGGGCACTCAGGCTGAAAGGTTCGCCATCACTGGCCTACACCAGTAGGTTCTATTGCTTTTCTTAAAATGTTTCATGAACGTATTTGCAAAGTTGGCAAATAGTAGTGTCCCTAATTAAACTGAAAAAAAACTAGCTGCTTTAAATTAGTGGAAAATGCAGTAATTCAAAGCAAAACTACTAAAATTTACCTACAAGAGAAAAAAAATAGTTGGTGTATGTGTACTTTGTACATTTATATGTTGCGTGTATGCAAATCATGCAGCCTTCATTGCTACCCATTACCTTTACAATGCCTGCCCGGTTCCTGATCTGGTGTTAAAGCCCTCACATAGTGCAGTTCTTTGTCTGCATTCTAGTTCAGTGCTTGCCTTATTCTCACATTGCAGTGTATGGGCTAGAACAAGCAGGAGAAAGCCAGTGTAATGTTTAAATTTTAAAATTTTAAAATGTCATGTCTTCTGTACTAACATACATGTGTAACTTTTTAGCTTGCAGTTTGACCCAGCACCACGCAGAGGAGAACCACATGTGACCCGTCGCACCCCGGACTATTTTCTCTAAAGAGAACTTTACGCTTGTACAGTATTGCCAGAAGTGGGCTATTGACCTGGGAGCCGAGAAGAGAATCAAATTTCAGTCAAAAGCGCATTTGTCACACGTACTGTTCTCCGATGGACCAAAAGATGTGCCATACACTAAAGAAAAGCCTCTCGTCTCAGCAGCCCCTGACAATATTAGAAAAAGACTCAGTTCATTGCATGCTGAAATTACATTGTCAAAGAAAAATTTCCAGTTTCCTGGCATAGCACTACTTGTAGTTACTTTTTGCTTTCTCAGAGGCTGCAAAAAATACAACATAAGATGTATACATTAAACACCTTGTGAATACAATTTAACTTTCCATTTAGTAATTAGCTTTACCCGGCATGATTGTAGATGAGAATAGAAATGGTGTGGGGAAACCCTTTACCCTGATTAGAGGCCTGCAGCCTCTACAGTTGGTGTGAAGGGACTTTAAGGACCTTTCTGAGAAGTACTAAGGCCTGCATTGCCTCTTGTGACAAAAATTTTTTTTTTTTCAGGGAATACAATCTAATTTAATTTCTCACCCTTGCCCACCGTTTTTCTTCCGGTTTATGTTTTTTGCCTCTCAACCCCCCTTCATCGTTTAATGTTGGTTTTGAACAGTTCTGTAAATGTTGCAGTCCAAATGCAGCAGTGGATTTTTCATAATAAACTTGTGAACTAAATACTTGGAAATGTGAAACTTTTAATTTGTCTTTCATACTTCTACATGCTAAAATGCAATGACATGGTTTGTGGAATTGTAAACAAGCTCCAGAAAACCAATAAACTTTTAAGATCTTTTCAGATGTTTTAGAAGTGTGACTCAAAAAGGTTAGATGTAATGTCTGTGCCCAATTATTTGATTTTCATGGAGACATAATGCTCTTTTGTATTGAGATGATTTCTGTCTGCATTATTTTGTTAGTTTCCAGTTCATGCATCTTGAATTTGGTATGAGTTATCCCTTGCCAACCCTTTTGCCTGGAGCAACAAATCAGATTCTTTAATTTTAAATCTGCGCTTAATGGATACTCTAAGATATCAATTGGAAGCTGCTGCACTATAGACAACTAAGTCCAGATGAATGTTTTCAACCAGATATACAGCGCTAATCATTCATTAAAAGCAACTCTGTGGTAACCTATTCAAATATATATACCATTTAATCCATCCAAACTCTACCCTCCGTGATGTGATTGTGGACACACAAATAAATCTAAAGTGATCTATCAATACGTGGAGGCCGCTCTATATATTAGATGTTAACCTCGTGAAATATAAATTTGTGCCAATAAGATTGGGGTCTAGTACTAGGATAGGTAATTGCCACTCTATCCTTACGTATCTAATAATCCCAAGTGGTGTGTATCAATTATTAATTTATATTAAATATTAGTTATGATTCCTCTATAGGTAAGTAAAAACCTTTTCAAATGTGTAAATAATGACAAAAATCCCTATGCATCAGTATCCTTATACGTATAAAGGATTAATGTGTAATCTATCTATAAATACAAAATATACAATGTGCTAATAATATAGACACCAGGAATAGTCCATGAAGTAAATTATATAATTTAAAAATCTCTGCAAAAATACAATGCCCCACCCACCCAGACAGCTGTCATTGCGATCACAAGATGGAGAGCGAGTGATCGCTGAGTGTTTGTAAATAATTGAGGACATAGTATGTTTACTGTATCCTCAATTATAAATGAATGGGGAAGTGATCTACATCACTTCTTGTTCATTCATGATTGAGGATATAGTAAACACACAGTAAAGAGGGCTGCAGAAAGAGAGATTCCCTGTGTCCTCAATCTCCTATTTTAAAAGGGAAATATCAGGAGTCTGTTTAGACCCCTAATATTTCCCTGAAGCCCTTAAAGTAAAAAATAAAAATTTAATACAAATAATAAACAAAAACTAAAATATTATTGTGAAAGAATAAAAAGTTTAAATTTTGGCCTTTTTTCGGTATTTTACTTTTGGTGCACCTCTAATCAAGTTTTTGGTAGTTTGGGGAAAAGATTTGACACTATTTTATTAGGATGTGTTTTTAGTATATGTGAATATTGTCGTCCTGTCTGTCAGGGTTGCTGGGCTATGCTTTATGAAGCATTGCTGTGATTAATCAGCACTGCGTGTAAACCATTGGTGTGGCTATCGTCCTATTGGTGTGGCGATGCGGCTGCTGTGCGCAGAGATCTCCGCTGGTGAATGGTCCATGTACTATGCGCTGGGCTGTTGGCCGGGGGAGGTTAATGTTCATTGCGGCGCAGTGTCCTCTTCGCAAGTGTATGGACAACGGTGAGGGCCCCTGTGTAATGCGACGATTTTTTCACTCGGCGTGGGTACAGTTGCTTTGAGAACACGGTATCATTCGGATACATATGTGCCTTTATGAAAGGAACATACGCTCGTCTTTTTGGTGCGTCTGATCAACGCACTGGAAACAATATGGCGTTGTCTCTGCAGATAAACTTGCATTCACAGGAACCGTAGTATAATCCTGCTAGGCATTGTTCAGTGAACAATGCCTGGTAGAATTTGCGCCAGTGGCAGGAGTATATGCGTGGGTCTGGTTGGAGTGGCGTCCACGGTTCTTTAGTGTAGTGTTTTGGCAGGAATTCCAGAGCACATGGTTTTCTATTGTTGGCCAGTGTGCATGGCGTTCACATGCATTAGTAGCTGTGAGCTGTGCACGGTGTGTTTTTCACATGCACAAGCATATACTCTCCTTTCTATTGTCTATTCAAATGTATACATGTGTCTCATTGGCTGACTGTGTTTATGTTAGTGTATTGAGGAAGCGATTGGCTGTTGGAACCAGCACTCCCTGCTGTTACGCCTTTTGTGTGGTATAAATAAATGGATCTCAGTGCATTAAATAGGACTTGTACTGGGCATCCAACGTGATAACAGCTCGTGTCTGTGTTTCCTTGGGGCCAATGAGCTGCTCAAACAGATTATACAAAAGAAGCTGAGAACTGTGCTTTTTACCACAGCAAATTAATATGCGCAGGAGTGTATATTTCCATGACATTCCCCTTTCTTCATAATCAGAAAAAACTATAACCAAGGCCAGTCATGGACCTCAAAAAGAAATCCCCCCTCTTACAAAATTCAAGATGGAGTCCTTGTATACAGTCATTTTGAGAAGCTAGGATACTGGATGGTCTCTCTCAATGTTCAGGATGCTCATTTTCAGTCATTTCACCATTTTTAAGGTTTCAGTGCCTTCCATTTGGCCCATCTACAAAGCACCAATAACTAGCAAAAGTTCTGATTGCAGTGTTGGCTTCACTCCAGGAGAAAAGTATGCACAAAAGTACCATTCTTCTGAAACCAGTAATATCCACTCTCACCCACTTTGGAGAAAAATCTCCTGGAACATTTTTGTGCCCAACGCCAGCCATACAGGTTGTGGTGCCCATTGTGCAGATGTGATGGCCCAGTTGAGGAAACGGGTTCCAACATCCTAGAGCTTCAAGCAGCGTGAATAGTGCTGAAACATCTTGTTCCGATGCTGAAGGAGAAAAACTTGTACAGATGGACAACTGAGCAGCAGTGTCTTGTATCCACAATGCTGGTGGCCATTACCTTGGTTTAAAGAATCTAGTTCTGGACTCTACATCATATTCTGTCTTGACAGGGTTGTTTTTTTACAGCCAATACAAAAGCCAGCCATTGTTCAAGCTTCATGAATTGGATGCAGCAAAAGCTTTAAGTTACTACCTCTCTCACCCAGTCTTTCTGTATGAATATTACTATTCATTATTCCAGCTATAGCTAAAAGAGAACAAGCCACAACATCCCAAACCATAGCCGGCTGGATTGTATGGGTTATTGTGCTTACCTGGATAGTTGCAAAACAGTTCCCTGGGCAATGACCTCTCATGCTACTAGGAATATATTATAATTGGCAGCATTCAATGGAGTATCTACTGTGACCGTTTGCCAGGCCATTAACGCCGCAAACTTCTCCACCTTCATGTACCATAGTCTTGATCTGGCTAAAAAAAAGTGTCTTTGCAAGCATTATTTTCTTCCTGTGTACTGAGGAAACTATATATGTATATATATGGTTGGTATGTAGGTGCCAGGAAATCAGAAAAGGGAATTCTTTCCATAATTTTCTTTTCCTGGTGCTGATTCATGGCAGCATAATTTCCCTCCCTATCTTGCTCTTGTTATGAGAATGAAGGCTGAATTGCTTTTTATTCTTTTTTGTTGAATACGTTTTTATGTAAAAGTTGTTTTTTTTTGGTTTTTATTATACAGAAAAAGGTGTAGCATGGGTACATAAACACCTGTTATGTTATATAGGCATCAGCCATCTACATAATTCCACTGTATGTGAGATTTATGTAATGCCAAAGACAGAGCCTTTAAGGAACAGTAATCAACAGTAGCGAACACAAACTAGACAGGTTAAGAGAGGTAGAGATAAGGGAAGATTAGGAACGTGTCAGGGGAAAAAGCCTGAATAGAATATCACTTCAACAGTGAGCCAATATTGTTTGGTGATCGGGCAATGCCACCAGATGTAAGCATGAGTTGCTACAGCTCCACATCCTCTCCAACAAACAGGAGATGATTCCGCAAAGATGGAATGTAATATTTCAGGAGTAATACCATCTACTAAGAAGTTTGTAGTTAATCTAACTGGGTGGAGAGAGAATACATGTGCTAGCTGTAAGATTTTAAGCTTTTTGTACTCTCAATGTGTAGCTTAAGCCCATTTCCCAGTGAGAGATGTAGGTTTCGGTAGATGTTGTGCTTCCAGATATGAGAGAGCTGCATATAATGAGGATACACATTTGATTCATGCAGAAACGGATGATAATATTTCCAGAGGGTGGAGTGCACTCCTTGATCACAAGGGTCCAGGGAGAGAGTTAACAAAATGTGAGATTGTTTATATCTCCACACATCAAAAATTGTTGGAATACAGGATTTATGGAGAATAGAACAAGGATTTTAAAGTGACCCCCATCTAGGACTTGGTGCAACAATAATGCATCTTCTGAGGACCACAAAAGTGGAATCTAAAAGACCAGGTATAAATAACGGTGTCCTAAAAGTGGCAGGAGAGGGAAATTATAATGCCAACCATATTTAACATGCAATGTATCCCAGACTGCTGATGTAGGATGAGTCATGGGGTAAGTGTCACTAGGTAAGGGTCTGTATTGTCTCAAAATCCAACACTCAATACTCAAATCCACTTCACATATTAAATTCCAAAGCTACCCAAAGTTTAGTATTCTTCCCATATTTCCAATCAAGCAGTCTAACCAAGGATGATACCCTTATTAAATCAGGTAATGCCAGAGTTTCTTGGGATTCAGAACGCCATGGAAGATCCTTTCCCTTCTACCACATCAATTGAAGCGTGAAATTTGGGGGTGTAGCAAGGTGAAAAAACTAGGAGGAAACACCCATAGGTATCATTTGAAATAAGAGGAATCTCGGTAGGATGTTCATTTTAATGACATTAATTCTACCCAGCCAAGAGTGGTATAGGGATGACCAGCGGAAAAGATCATGTTGAACTTCATTTAATAAAGGTATATACAGTAATTATAATGAAACATGTTTCAGATTTGGAGTGAGTAAGATTCCTAGGTATTTTAGCTTATGGGTTTGCCAAGAAAAGGGGAAATGTGGTTTTAACACCTGTACCTCTCTGGCTGA